TTTGTCGGAATAAACCTTATAATTCTACGAACAAAATTACACAAATATGAAATAGTCAATACGAAATTTGTAATTCAGATTCTATCCGATAGATGGCGTTACGGTTTGGCACGTCGCCATGTCTCTCATATACGTGCCATTCCTTTGTCACTATGATAGTGTCTTTCGTCAATATTGCTGCGTTCGGCATCATATTGGTCATCACTCAAATTGCTGTGTTTACAAATTTCAACAGAACTATCGTCAACATTACTGGTATGCTCACTAAAATCAGAGCGGATGCACTCAGCTTCACAGCGATAAAATTATTCTTAAGGCCCCATTTCCTAGCATCCGATTGCAATCGATGTAGTGTTTAACGGACTATTGTAAGTGTGTGACGCGCCGTTCAGTGGTCATAAACAGGACCCGCCACCACACACCAAACGTCCCTTTGAAAATAATACATTTAGTCGATGTTCACCGATCATTGAATGAACACATATTAAACATTCTGTTCTGACAACAAACAAATCTGCGTTGTTTCTTTAATTACATTACATCGGATCCGATTTTTTGAAATTGGTCACCGATTTATCACAATCATTTTTAACTATCGGATCCGATTGAAATCGTACACTTTTTGGCAGTTCGACAGCGAAAATTGATTCACGCTCCCAATACATGATTTCGGTTTCGGTTGCTTTCTTTATTTTTTTTTTGTTTTTTTTTTTCTGTGTACTCTAAGCTCGCTTTCGTATTGCATTCACATTCGCAGTCTCATATCTCTATGACGATGGTGCGTGTTATGTGTGATATGTGTAATAATGTGTGCATTAACGAAATTCCAAATAGCAAAGCTATTAAGTCGAAGCGAATGAACATCATGAGAAAGATACGTATACTTCTACCTATTTTGGATATACACATCAACGATATAATGCTATTGAAGGCGGTGACGGTGGTGGTTGCATGGACTATTTCGTCGGTTCAAAATCAGCGAAAGAGAGTTTGGTGCCAATTTGCATATTAATTGAAGTAAAAATAGAGACAAAACGCGACAAAATCATCATCGTTTATTGCGATGTTCAGTCATTTCGAAATATTCCCTTTTCGCTCGTTTTTATTTCGAATGCGTGTGTGTGGAACTAATTTTCGTTCATTGCATTTCAGCGTGTTCACTGTTCATATCTATGCTCCTTTACCATCCTCTCTACAAATCATTTTCATTTATAATTTTTGTTCACTTTTTTTTGGGGCGAGAATTTTTTTTCTCTCCATAAATCGTGTGAAACGATTTTGTAACAATGTCAATTGGCCAGAATTTTTCGTCGCCCTTTTGTTTTTCAACATTGTTGTAATCGACGATAAATGACTAAATGCGGAATTTCAAGTGGCATAACAAATGTGCAAAATATGAGATAGAAGCAGGGTGATTGGATGAGGGTAAATGCCATAGAAGATAAAGGGAAACACAAACGAAGGCAGCGATAAGCCTACACTGATGTAATCCAAGCGGAATCGTTGTTTGTGTGTAAAAACCGACATTATAAATATTGGTCTTATAATAATAAAAATGTATAAAAATATAATCACATGTTTCGCATCAAATGTGATGCCATACGAGCAAAAAAAAAACACCAACACATCGGGACGACGTTGCCAGAGATATTGTCTCTGGGCAAAGTGCGTTCGTATACACTTGCGATAGCCTGAATTAGCGCTATGTTCATTTCTCTCTATGTGAAATGTGTCTCTTGTTTTGGGTTGTATCGTTGTTACATTTTCCACACACCAAAGCGTATCGGCTGCATACAGATTTTTCGCCCGTTTCGTGCTTCAATGGGAAATTGTTGCCTTTTAACGTGTATCACATGTATCACACGACTTACAAACGTGCCGCTCGTTTGGCTCGAGATGGAATGCCAACGCTCATGTTTTGCTACACACCGTGATCCAATGTTTATATCAGAGTGTGATTTTGATGATTGTGCCAATGAATGTGTTTGGTGGCGCGCATTCTAAATGCACGAAAAATCGTGATGTGATTTTTTAAATGAAATATTGCGCTTGTTGGTTTTTCATTTATTTACGTCTGTCGTGGATTTTTTTTCTCTTTTTCGTCCTTCCACATATGCGAATGGGTGAATGAGACATACTAAAGAGAATAATATTTGGTTCGTCGCTTCAAACAAAAGTCTCATTTATTTCACTCTCGTTTAGCCGCCCGATTCGATGCAGATGATCGTCGCACACATTACTGGCGGAGGGCATGAAAGTGAGGGAAAAACCAGGCGACATGTCTTGCCTATGTTCATTGATTTACACTGATAATAAATGAAGCTGCTGGTACTATTCACCCTCACACACTCTTAGTTTACTCATACGCATACATAAATACAAGGAAAAAAAATATTTTCATGTTACTTTTGTCTTTTGCTCCATGTTTGTCGCTTCTGCTGCTGCTGCTTCTGCTTATTGGATTTTACACTTACCATTGTATTCATGACGGGTATGAACAACAATCAAGATTAAAATAATGAATTGCATGGTTTATTGGCTCATTCACTCTCGTTCCCCAATTCCATCTATTTCAACCAATCCACTCGACGATAAAGAAGGGAAAAAAGTTCACATCAATGGTTTGAAAGGAACTTTGATAAAAAAAGAGCGTATGAAGCACTGTGTATGAAACAACCAACAAACGATGATTTGTATAATATGTCGACAATTTTTATATTGTCGCCCGAGTAAAGTAAGCTGATTTGACATTCCATGCACACATTCCACATTGAATGTCCTGACTCAATTCCACCAATGTATGCAGTTCTATGCAAAAACAAAAAAACACCAAACCGTTTGCCTCAAATCCTGATTTATGAATTAAAATTTCATGTTGTTTTCAATATTCATGAAATATTCACTCTAGCGGCAATATATTTTGCGTGTGTGATTTCAATTCATGATAAAATCGTTAATCCGCAATGATTAGTCAATTGGATGGACGCGTTTATCATGCAATGCAATCACAATTTTCGTGGATGCATTTTAAACATTGTATATTTTATAAAATTGATGTGTGCTGTGTTTTCGATGACATCTCTTCCAGTAGGCCATCATGCAAAATGTGTCGAGTCAAGCAAAACTTACGACAGGTGTTTGAATATATTTGGATGACAACTGCATTTTGGTTTACAATCGACAAATTTATCAATCCATCCTCATGATGGTGTTATAAAAACATTCTCCTGAAAATGTGTGTACACGCTTAAAAAAATTCTCTCATTTTGATTGAGGGGAAATTCCTGCATGGTTTTTCGAATAACACAGCTATATTTTCGATTTTTCTTGGCATTTTCCATGCGCTCCCCTAACAGGGGTAACAACGTTTCATTTGACAAATACTATGCCGCATCGACGGGCTGCGCAATGCTACATTGTACTGTTGCATTCCGTTCTCTACTTTCATGCCATTACCTAGGTTCAGAAATGTTGTTTTCGTTTATGCCATATTTGAATTGGCACTGCTGCCGCTTTTACTAACCGTCATTTTTCTCCACCATTTACTGTTATACAGTCGCTTGACGATGCGATTGTCAAATTTAATCATTTCGTCTGCGTGGCACAACATTTCGTATAGTGTAGATGATCCGATATACAAACAACATTCATTGAATAGAACACAGCATTGTGAGAAAGTGGAAAAGGCACGCGCGCGCACATTAGCCTTTGTAGAAGTATCCGAGCGGTATGAGAACGATGATTATTCCGTATACATCTAGCCAGAGCATTCTCCAGAACGCGAATAGTATCGGTTTAACTTTCGTACGGTTATCATCAATGACAACGCTACTGCGTTCGTTCCACACGAAATAGAACGAAATTCTCGTAACAATCCTGAGCAATAAACGTCATATATACCACGTAATATATACACGATTGAGATTTTTCAAAGAAAACTCAAACGGATTTCGATTTTGTGTTGAAATATTTTATATTGATGCATTCAGTTTTCACAATAAAAAATAAACATAAAAATTATGAACCAAAATTTAAATTCCCCAACAGAATTCCCAAAAGAAGCTAGAAAATAAAATACTGCCATAAAAAACCGAAAAAAATATATAGTGTTTTTTTAAAAAGGTGATCAAAATTCTGGCTGACAGTTTCGAATGAAGACCTGGACATAATTCGTCAGTTAATAATGACCAATATAACATATAACCGAAGGCATATAAAGGGATTGTGTCCGAAACGAAACGGCACATAATAATAATTGATGGAATTCGTTTTCCGTGAGTGACAACGTGTCAATTCATCAAAATCTATTAGCTTCAATTGCATGCACTTCATTTTTTTCCCGATGAATTGAAAGAAGAAAAAAAGAAAGCGAGTAAAAAGAGACAAAAACGTCAGTGGTCAAGCGTGTGTTGAATGTTGTAAGCGTTTTGTGTGAATATACAAGACAAAAACGTAACAAAAACAGAAAACGACAGCCGATTATTATATATTACTAGCCATTTTATTAGCAACATCCATATCAAACAGGCCACCCTGAGAAAAGAGAACGACCGTTCGCCGACATGCAAGGCACACACTGAAAACATATCAATCAGTTTGAGTCCCAGTTCGTGTCGATAAAAATAAAAGCGAACCTCGTGCAAATTCACGTGCGAGAAAAGGACATAAAACGTGAAAAAGAAAGAGAGAAACAAAAAGAATACAGTAAATTTTACGCGGCCCTTTTGCTCTATATATTTGTGTGTATGTTGTTTTTATTTTTATATATGCCAATAAAAATACCAGAAATAGCAACAAACCGTTCAAAAAATACTAAAACATCAAAGAAAGGAAAACAGAAGAACCACATCCAACCCCGAAAAACAGTTAGCGAACGCAAAAAATAAAACAGTGAAACAGAAAATGTCCACAAAAATCAATGCTGTGCAAATCATAAATTTTATAAATGAAAATTTCGGTAAAGTGTGTGCATAAGTACTTGTCAATAGCTAACCAGTAAACTGGTGGTTAATTTGGTTAAGTGTGTCGTTAAAAGTGACTGTATTGGTAGTAAACGCTTCGAAGAATATAGATTCATCGAAGCGGATATAACTTATATTTCGTGTGAAATTTAAATGTGTTACGGTTATCGATGTGTTTTCATGTGTGTCCATCACTGTCACATTGCATTTAACACGGTGTAGTTTAAACAAGACAAAAGCAATTTCATTGGACCATATGAACGTGAACTTTGCGTTTGAACTGCAAAGTAGACCACACACATATGATTATACCGTGGACTGCAATAAATTCAACCGCAACACCGAAGCAGCGAAAAATATAGCTTGAAACATATCAATGAATTTGATTTTTTCCGACGATTCATGACAGTAAATATTACTTTTCAGCTTTGCAAATGTAAGGCTTCCAACGGCAGCATTAATTTTTAATGTGACATTCAACGTCTAATGTTTCAAGCAAAAGTACACACACACACACACACACACATATATATATTTAAAATCTGTGTGAAGTAAGTGGAAAAAGACGACAGTTATGGAATTAAATAGAGCCGGAAAACTTTGTAGAAAAGTGGAATAAAAATAAAACTCATACACACAGCATTTTAAACAAAACCAGAACATATACCCATAAAAAGACTAACAAAAGTGAGCAAAATAAAATAATCGCATCATATTTCGTTTGCGGCAATATATGAATGCGACCACGTACAAACGGTGTATTTTTCTCATATTAAAAAGAGAAAAAGACGAAAAAACCCATAACAACAATAGACTTGAAACGTAGTACCGTATGAAATCTAAAGAGATCATACATACACACGCCGCGACTCTGTCAAACATACACACAAAGACAATGATGTAAGTTTTAAGAATTTATATTTTTCTTTCTAAATGTTTTGTATGTTTTCAACAAATATTTGAATTCATCTGCTCTTTATACCATTTGGGAAAATATAATTCGGTGGTCCGTGTGTTTGTGCGAAGCTTCGTTTTATTTCTTCAAAAGAAGGAAGAACGAATAAAAGACAAATAGCGATTTAGTACTCTTTTTTCACTCTCTTTCTCTCTCGTACTCAGTCTCTTCGTGTATGTGTACATTACATTGTTACGAAGTATATTCGGTTAAAATATGTATTGTTTGTATGCATGCGAGTGAGTGAGTATGTGTGGAGGGTGGTGATTGCATCAAAGATTTACTGCACTAAAATTGCTACTTAACCAAAAAAAAATGAACAATACCGAATACAGAGTATAGTTGGAGTTTTCTGCTTCAACAACAAAACGCATATTGTGCAGTAACAGCAGCATTGAAAACATGTGTGAATCGGTTTATTTTATACTTTTCTCATTTTATTTGTGCAGTAATTTTATTTATTGCGAAACAGTTTATGGTTGTTTCTACAACAAGGAATCGGAACTTTTATTTTTCGTCTGCCGCACTCTGACGACGATGACGACGACGAAAAAGAGAAAAACGAAGATGAAGAGGAAGACGAAAATGTGGTTGTGGAATACGCATAACGATATTCCATGTCGAAAGTTACGTTTATTGCAAATGTAGCCATTCTTGTTTTTTGTTGTTGTTCATGTTTTTTTTTTTTCAAGCAAAATCGAAATGAGGTTACGATAAAGATAAGTGTGATTTTAGGTTCACCAAAATGAGGAACATCTTGGGTCTGGAAACACAAAGACAAACAAACAAATGGAAAATGGCAAAAAAGCGAACAACCGAATTTGCCAAAGACAAAGCGTCAGCATGTTTTCGTTGTAGACGATTCTCATTTCGAAATGCTAACATTCATCGAAAATGGTTTGAATTAACCGAAATAAGTCGGTATGAATGAGAATGAGTGTCATTGTGTGTGTCGGGTGAGAAGGGGGCGTAATGATTTCCAGCCAAAACAATAAATTTTAATAGTATTTTATCGTATGGCATAATCCAAAAAAAACCAAGCCCCCTCCCCGGCAAAAGAAAGTGAGAGCATACCATGCAAGCAAAGAGACGATTTTATCGTTTTATAAATACCATTATTATATTGTACTTTGGTTTGCAATTTCACCGCAGCTATGTTTTCGCTAAACAATCATTTTGTTATGTGGCATTTTCACAAACAAAATGTTTAAATTAATAGAAAAACCAAATGCAAGACCATCGAGTATTCCCACAATCGGTGTTGCTGTTGTGCCTGTATGAAACAGAGAAAAAAACGGGCAAAACATATAAAGAAAAAGGAAAGAAAGAAAATTGAGAGAAACAAAAAAAAATGGAAGGCTTGTATCGGTTCCTTTGAACCAAGAACTGAGCGTGTTTGAAAACAAACGCGTTTCTCGCGATTAAACAAAGCGAAACAAACGCAATTGAACACATAACCAATTTAATGTACTGTATGCTAATATTGAAGATAAAACGAAGAGTATTTCGTTGTTGCCACTGTTGCATAAAAAGCTTGTTTGTTTGTTGGTCGTGTTATGTGTGTTGTGAATACGCCTTGTTCTGATATATTGCTAATCTTTGTCTGTTACCGCTAGTTGTATAGCACATTTTCCTTTCCTTGAATTTCCATTATTTTTGTTCTCTCTCTCTCTTCTACGACTTTTTTTTTCAACCGATTCACGATACAAATTATCCTTTTGGACGTTTTCTCTCGCTATTTGTGTGCCCGTCCCACCCTCTCTGTTGCATAAAATATTCAAGTGAATTGTGAAACGATATTTATTGCACCGAACTGAGAGAATGGATAAGCTTGTTGACGGCTTTTGTTCAATAAAAGAAACCAAACCAAACAACAGTCGAATAGATAAATTAAAACTGCGCGCATTCCAATGCTTGAAATCTTAATTCCGTACACACCATTTCGAATTGGCCAACACCGATTCAAATCAAAGCTACGAACTATATCGAGTGGCGCAAAAAACTATGCATGTATTTTCATTTACCTGATAATTGGCATTGTGAAACTAAAGAATAGCTTGCATATTTTGATTCTTTGTATTGTGATCGGTATCTGCATGCTTCGAATGCTCAAGGTACATATATATTGTTTAAATGGGAGGAAACATGCTTTTTGCATTATGAAAACATCCCAAACGATGTGAAAACTCCTACACGAGAAAAAATAGAAAGCATAGAATCGAATTACCAAAGGTATTTGCATGTGAGAACGTGTCAGTTTACGCTGTGCAAATACATCGTTGGCCACATTTCGAATGAACACATAAAACGCAATCAGCATTGCAACCCAAACACTTGAATTTATGCGAAAGCCGAATAGAATTTCGGGCAACAACAAACAATCGCGGTCAAATATGGGAAATATGATAGTGGAAAAAGAACACCACATCCGTGTGCGCATATCCATCACAAACATTTCCGACGCTCAAAGGAATTCTAAAATAATGGCAGAAAAATCGCTCAAATTGAATCGTACACATTTCCATTTCAAAAAAACCGAGTCCGAAACACTTTGATGAGCTCCATTAATATAGAATAGAACTACGACAACTACAGTTAATTGTCGTGATTTGATTAAACAAAGACGATTTTGACGTTTTCTTAGAAAATTAAAAAAAAAAAACATTTTTTTATATTCAAAAAAAAAAAAAAAAAAATACCATGAACATGATTCAAAACAAAGAAAATGAAATCATAAAATTTAAATGGGGAAGAACAATTTTATAGCCTATGAAGAAATAACCAGACACACATTTATTCAAAAAAAGCAGATCGTTTAATTTTTTTCCATTCCATTCGTTTTTTTTATTCGATTGAAAATAAATCGATACACCTGATGTCATTAGGATAAACGATACCAGCGGTTTGAGTAAATACAAAATCGACAAACTTTCTATAAAACAATAATCACATTAATGAAAATTGTACGAATTGTTATGAGGGATTTTTTTTTCGAAGGCCGGAGCGAGTGGCAGAGACAAAGAAATGGGGAAGTAAATGAAACAAGGAAAATGTATAGAAATGTGTGATTTAGCAAAAACACAAATTGGTATTCAAATGCGGTCTATGGCAAAATATGGATAATGAAATAAAGAAGGTAGCAGCAGAACTTGCAAACAATTGAGCTTATGGTTCTAAATCGGAAAAAAAAATATCGAACAATTGAATTGTTGTTATTATCAAACGAAAAACAGATTTTCAAGCATTTCCAAAGCGAACAATAAACACTGCGCGTACATTTTGATTTCCTCTATAAATGGTATTAAATGTCTGAGCCGCCGACAACACAAATAGATACAAAGATACAGAGCAGGCAGTAGCAGAATCTATGGAAACCGCCGAAGCCGGTACAAGACAAAAATTGACGATTCAATGAAAAATGTGCATAAATTCTTCGGCGGTTGTTTTTTTCTTTCGCATATTTTCTTTGTGAAGCCAAACAATATTTTCCTCACACAATTTCTCGTTGTTGTTGTTGTTCGTTGTAGTAATACAACGACTTTGTTGCGTTTGTTTTATTCATTGTCGATGAAAAGTTTACAGCGCCAAGCTTTCAAAATGGTTTTATTATTCCAAATGATGTTATGTTTTTTTTTCTTCTTCGTTTTTACTTTTCGTTCGTCTCTGGTGTTGTGCGCGTGAAAGAAATTTATGTTCATTGAGTAATTTGCATTTTCTTTTAAAATCTCGCCATTTTCATATAATAATAATAATAATAAGCATGCTTTCCATACACGCTTACATCGTGAGCAATGGACAAGTACGGCAACGGGACGAACACAATCCAAATCCAGAGTACGAGTAAAATGTTGAGATGGTGCCGTCATCACGTTTCAACAACGAATTGAAATGACGGCTTTTATGCATGTGGAAAATAAATTTTCTACTTTTAAGATTTCACCGGGAGTCTTTTCACACACACACACACACACACACAATCCACAAAATCAACATACACACACACGTGCGCGCACGCGAGTCAGAAAAATAAGCTGTGAACATCATTTGTCTATGCATATACCGGGAAAATGAATCCATTTTGATCTCATTTAGTTCTGTTTGATTTGGTATGTGTATTCTTTTCCCTTCTGTTCTTCTTCCTCTATCTCTCGCCCCACCGTCGTCATTTATCGCGTTGCCTGTTGTATAATTCAATGTTTGATGTGTGTTTACTTTCTTCTGAAGCGCGTAATTGTTCTCTGGCTTTTTCCTTCTTTTTACTCTTCATTTGTCGACTGGCAAGGTGTTTTCGTTTGCATATGTATAATCTGCAATAATTTTTGTAGCTTTGCGTGTTGCTTTTTTACCATATTACATAATAATACTAGATAAACGTACTGAATGAGATGAAGCGAAACGCACAATTGAAAAAAAAAACCATACATTCATATGAGTTGGGTGAGCCCGTGAAGCGGTTCATCATGGTTTGCACACACATGGATAGTGTATTCTAGCAATAATGCTCATCAACTCCGCTGTATTTGTACAAAAATAATAAAATATTATGTGCCTCAATTTTCGTGAATTAGAATAAAAGAATATTCCAGTGCAAACGAGGTTGCAATTCCCAAGTTTCATTACTGCCATATGGTAAAATTGTGAAGGGATGATTTGATTTTTCTTCCGGTGTATATATTTGCGTGCCAGTCCGATTGCCGTTGTTCATATATCTTATTTTTATTGTTCAGCATGGAGAGCGCATCATTCGCTCCATTTGTGCATCCCAACTTAAATTGCAAGCTTTTTACGCCTGCTGCTGTACAGCCCGTTATAAAACCAGAAGATACACGAACATTTGAATAATCAAAATGTGTTTTCTCACGTTTTCCACGCGCACTCACATTCAATAGGTGTTCCTTCTACCTTTCGTTTGCGGTTTTACGTTCATTCTTTTCGGAACATAAAA